ACACACACACACACACACACACACACACACACACACACACACACACACACACACACACACACACACACACACACCCCCACACACACACACACCCACACACACACACACACACACACACACACACACACACACACACACACACACACACACACACACACACCACACACACACACACACACACACACACACACACACACACACACACACACACACACACACACACACACACACACACACACACACACACACACACCCTCGAGGCGCCTGCAGCCGCGGCAGCCGAGGAAGAGCCCGGGGGGAGGCAGGCAAATGCTGTGTGGGGGGAGGCTCCTAAACCCCAAACCCTGAGAACCCCCAACCCCAACCCCCAAACCCAAGCCCCAAACCCCAAAGCCTAAACACTAAACCCTGATATGATGGGCTTGGAGGCCCTGCCACCCTGTGTGGCCCTGAGGGTGTAGGGTTTAGGGTTTCGGTTGCAGGGTGGAGGGCTTTTTTGGGTTGAGGGCGCTTTAGGTCGTGGCCCTCACTCTCTGTTTAGGGCCAAGGTGCTTCAGGGCCAGCAGGGGAAAGGTACTCGTTGGACATTTTCTTTCAGAATCTTTGAAGACTTGGGATATAGTTGAAGCTTGGGGCAAGTTGGGAAGGCAGTACCCTCGCCTTCCGGTAAGTGTGGCGCCCAAACGTCCCCCCACGCCCTCAATCACCCGTGCGGGTGGGATCTGGAAGGCAGTCTTCTCCCTCGGACGACCCCAGCAGCGATCTACCTAAAGAACAAGAGTGTGAGGAGGCGGGGCAGTCGAAAAACACTCCATTTGAAGGCCCAGGGACCAGCGCGAAACCCTAAGCCCTAAACCCGAAACCCCAAGCCCTAAACCCTAAACCCCCAAAACCCTAAACCCAAGCCTCAACAGCGCCTTGTGGGAGGTTCCCGCTTCCCGATGCGAGGAAAGCAGCGTGCCCGACAGGACGCAGCATGGGGCGATGCGAAGCAGGGGGGAAAAACTCCCGTTGGGTGAGTTTCTTTAGGGTTTAGGGTTTGGGGTTTTGGGTTTAGGGTTTAGGGTTTAGGGGTCCTTAAGATGTGGGTATTTCCCTAACGGGGTTCCCTTATATTGTCTCGTCCTTCTACACGAACGCCCAAAAAAGGGTTCGCCCTATGCTCGGAAACCCCCGTCCTTTTGGGGGTTACTTGTAGTAGAACACTTGCTTCACGTGGCAATCGCTTTCGTGTCGTGTATCCACCAATAGCTGACTGGCTGAGCCTCATCATCTTAAACCCCAAACCCTGAACCCCAAAAAGCTGCTTATCATCCTATTTAAATAAGATTAAAGATTCCAATTTTACCCCTGCTATGAAAATATTTAAATTCTTTATTCATTGATCTGGTGCGAAGTGAGAAACGCTGGGGGTTGCATCGAGGCATGACTTTGCCAAGCCTCATCCTGAAGCGGGTTTAGGCTTTGGGGTTCGGGTTTAGGGTTTGGGTTTAGGGAATTTAGGGTTCAGGGCTCAGGGAACCCCATGCCCTAAACCCTAACATTCCGATGTGCAGGCAGCCAGAGTGGACCTACTTTTGCCGGAAGTGCGGAGTCCGGCCCTTGGGGGTCGGTCGAGGCCATCATAAATTCCGCGAAGCTAAGTGCCATGTTTTTCTGGCAGTGGCAATTGGGCCTTGAATGTTGCGGGCTGAGAGGCGGCTCTCTTCCACGACCTTGATGTGTTGCAGCATCAGCGCGGAGGGCAGCGACAGGCCTTTGCGTGTCCCTGGCTTGCTGCAATGAGCGTAGGCTTCTGCTGCAGGGCTTCAACAGACGACAGATTCAGAGAGACACAGAGAGAGGGAGGAAGACTTCCCCAAGCGGAGGATCATCTGGCACAAGCCGCTTTTGGAGAAGGAACACAAACTCTCAGCAGCCGACAAGCTGCCACAAAACCTACTCGTGGTGGGCATTCTGGAAGGTTAGAGTATGGATCCACTCGGGTGCAGAAGCGCACATCACCACCGGCTCTGCCCGTTCCTGAAAGCTACTCGTACTAGACGAGCCAAAACCCTCAGCCTACCTACGATACAGTCGGATCCAAGAACGAATTCGTGATGCAGATAGCTCTGAAGCCTGCGGGCTGTTGAGATGTGCCCTTAGACCCAATCCTAAACCCCCAACCCCCAAAAGCCCTAACCCTGAACCCTAAACCCTGAACCCTGAACCCTGAACCCTAACTGAGGAACCCTAAACCCTGAACCCTGAACCCTAAACCCTAGCTGAGGAACCCTAAACCCTGAGCCCTAAAACCCTAAACCCCAACTGAGGAACCCTAAACCCTGAACCCGGAGCCCGAAACCCTAAACCCTAAACCCGAAACCCTAAACCCTAAACCCCAAACCCCAAACCCTAAACCCTAAACCCTAAACCCTCTGACGAGGCCGGCTATGGCGACTGGCGTGCCGATCGCCTTGCTGAAGCTGCAGCTGGCACATCCGTCGACTGCACCTCCATGCTGCCCGGCCTTCTTCTTTAGGGCTTAGGGTTTAGGGTTTAGGGTTTAGGGTTTAGGGTTTAGGGTTTAGGGTTTAGGGTTTAGGGTTTAGGGTTTAGGGTTTAGGGTTTAGGGTTTAGGGTTTAGGGTTTAGGGTTTAGGGTTTAGGGTTTAGGGGGTTCCTCAGTGGCTCTTCAGATGTTCAAAGGACATGAAGCCGTTTTGGAAGATCTGCTGGGGTTCCGGCTGAAGGCAGTCCTCGGAGTTCCGGTTTCTGGGCTGAAGCCCCTGCGCTTTGATCTGCTCTAAGCCGAGTCAGGGAGTACCCGCGCCCTTCTTCCCTAAACCCTAAACCCTCAACCCTCAACCCTAAACCCTAAACCCTCAACCCTAAACCCTAAACCCTAAACCCTGCATCCAGCAGAGGTTTGTGCAGCCCATGAAGCACGAGCCCCAGCAAAGCAGCCTTTGCCCAGGCAGAGGAAGCGTAATGTGGTGGGGGGGGGGGGGGGGGGGGGGGGGGGGGGGGGAAATGGGGAAGCGCCTCAGTAGCAAGCTGGATAAACGTTCCTCTGGTGATGTCGGAATGTTGGGGAATGTCATGGAATGTCAATGTCTGACTGAGGCGTACAGCGCAAGCTCTAGATACTCTTACGGCTGAGAGTTCCGTGCAGAGTTGACTTCGGCACCCTTCGCGCAAAGGTGGATGGGCGACCTGCAAGAACAGAGTGGCCGCCGAAGCCCCAGGGGTAGCATTTGAGCTGTCGACTGATAGTGCCGCGAGCACATGCGCTATTTCTTGTGCCCCAGCAGGGTTTTTGACTGTGACACAGAAGGCCTCGTCTGCGGCAACGCTGCCTGCAAGCAGAAGCTCGGCGGATTCAGCCGCGAAGCCCAGTTCCCGATGTGGATTTCGAGAAGTTGGGGTGGGGAGGTTTGTGAACCCTAAACCTGAAACCCAAAACCCTGAACCCTGACCCATAAACCCTAACCGGCCCTAACCCCAAAACGGATTTCAGCAGGTGCTACCAGAGGGCTCTTCCCTGGGGCTTCCTGGCTTCCCCCCTCGAAGGCTGGCACGGCCTTCCATGTTCCTGTGGCGAGTGGCAGCGCGAAGCTCAAGAGGGTCTCGACGGAGTCGGAGTCCCCGACTTTCCGACTTCCGACTGTTTGAGCGGGGGTGGGGAATGCGGTGGCGGCCCCTCTTGATAAAATAGGTGAGGCCGTTTGGGTTAGCAAGACAGAAACATCAAAAGGCCAGGCTCCTCTTCCAAAAACCACCCGCAATGTCACGCCATGCCCCGAGTGAGTAGCGCGGTCTCTGAGGTCTATCTTAGCTTAGGCCTCCAAGCAGCTCTTTTCCTAAAGACCTAGCTTATGAGCAAGCCCTCAACCCTCCGAAGCCCTGAACCCTTGTGGCGGGGTGGGACTGCAATCGGGCCCTCGTGGCGGCGCTGGGGTTTAGGATTTTGGGTTGAGGGTTCACGGTTGCGGGCTTGGGGTGTATGCATGGTGCAGACTGAGTTCTGCTTCTTGTGAGCCGAGTGGGTGTTCCTGGTGCTGGGCTCCGAGCTTTAGAGGCTTTAGAGGGCAAGAAGGCCCTAAACCCTAAACGCCTGCATGCCTCGGGATCCCCCCAGGAGCCCTGCATTCCAAATTCACTGCGCGCGCGCGGGTGCCAAGGTGGAGGTGTCAAGTTGCTTTGAATCTTGAGTACCGCGGCTGATGGGTTAGGATGTAGGGTTTGGGGTTGAGGCTTTACAAGTAGGGACTCATTTCATATCCCTGAACCATATAAATCCTAAACTGTTGAGAGACGAGTCCTTGCGGATTCTGCGCCTGAGCGGCGTGGGATCTGCCATAAACTTTCTCATCCCTGTGCGCTACCTCCATGTGTTGTCTCGGATGTCGCGCGGAAGAATGGGGCACCCTGCACCCTAAACCCTAAACCCCAAACCCTAAACCCGAAACCCCAAACCCTGAACCCTGAACCCTAAACCCTGAAACCTAAGGCCTGAACACCAAGCCCGCGAATCTTGGGGCCCCAAGGTTCGGACTTAGGGTTGAGTTATTCGGAGCACAAAGAACAGCAACTCGAAGAGTTTTGGTTGCAAGAATGGCGAACTAAACCCAAGATTCCCCTCAATCTCCCTAGCCCGAAACATCCCCAGGCTTCCCGAACTCAACCTTGTCCCCAGGGTTTAGGGTTTAGGGTTTGGGGTTTAGGGTTTAGGGTTACCCCGAACCTGTGAAGCTGCAGCGCTGGCTCGAGCCAGAAAGCTGATGCAGTCAACGGGATTTCCCAAACATTCTGCTCATGTACCCTCTCCTCCGATGATCCTTCGATATATACTTGCGCGCGCAGGAACCATGAACCGATAAATGTTTGCAAGGTTCATGAGGCCGTATTGGGCCCACAAGGTTTGCACCTAGGCGTCCGTAGAAAGGCTGTCTAGAGTTTGGAGCCATGGAGCTCGCATCTTGGCAGGCGGGGAGGGGTTGGGGTTGGGGTTTGGGGTTTGGGGTTTGGGGTTTGGGGTTTGGGGTTTGGGGTTTGGGGTTTGGGGGTTGGGGGTTGGGGGTTGGGGGTTTGGGGTTGGGGGTTGGGGGTTTGGGGTTTGGGGTTTGGGTGTTTGGGGTTGGGGTTGGGGTGTTTTGGCTTGCGGTGACAGGTCTCGCCTCCAACTTCGCCCCTAAACCCGAAACCCAAAACCCTGGAAGCCACCGGAACCCGAATAAACCTTGAACCCTGAACCCTAAACCCTAAACCCCAAACCCCAAACCCCAAACCCGAAACCCCAAACCCTAAACCCCAAACCCCAAACCCTGACTGGCAGGTCCTGCTGGCACCGGCTGGCTTGTTCGCGCCCTGCGTGTTGGCCGTGGCTATTGCAGCTCACCTGCGCCTCCACTGAACCCGTCCCCGATTCCAAGTGGATCCCCTGTTAGGGTTTGGGGTTTAGGGTTGAGGGTTTAGGGTTTGGGGTTTGGGGTTTAGGGTTTAGGGAACCTTGAGCCGAAAACTCTAAAACCCTCAACCGAAAGGGCCGCCCAAGACACCCCAAAGCCCGAACCGCACTGAGGAAGGGTACTGGAAAGTTGCTGCGCGACAGCATCTCCGCTGAGGAGACATATGGGCATTCAAGGAAACACTAAACCCTAAACCCTAAACCCTAAACCCTAAACCTAAACCTAAACCCTAAACCCTAAACCCTAAACCCTAAACCCTAAACCCTAAACCCTAAACCCTAAACCCTAAACCCTAAACCCTAAACCCTAAACCCCAAACCCTAAACCCTAAACCCTAAACCCTAAACCCTGAACCCTGGCAAACCAGGGAAACCCTAAGCTGTAAGCTGTATAAGGGGGTTCTGATAAACCCTAAGCCCTAGGTCGGTCGGGGGCCCCTTGCATTCCCCCTCAGAGACGTGCAGTCTCAGGGCCAGGTGGGGGGTACTCGAACTCTAACCCCACGCCCTGCACTCCGAACCCTTGACCCTGAGAACCTTCCAAAGTTCATGCTGCATCGTCAGGAGCTGGATGAGGAGAGAAAGGAAGCCCTGATGGAGCAGCACAAGCCTTTCTGCACAGTTCTCATGATGGGGGTGAGAATCCTGGCTCACTCATTACGGAAAGGAGTGTTGTCCTTTGACTCATTTTCAGTATGTCTCCTGTGCAGAGTCTACAGGAAGATGTTCGCAGACAGGTACGATGTCCGCAACTCTAACCGTTTCATCCCGCGAGGTGCACCAGACTGAGTCGTGGCACGTAGGCTAGTAGGCGTGCAAGCGCGATCGAGAACTTGTAATCATTAGGTTCTTTTAGGCACCTCCGAAACGGTGCTATGAGCCATGAAAAGAATACAGCACTCGAGTGTTTGAGGGTGGAAGCTGCAACTTTGGGGCATCCTGAAGGAATGCTGAAGGGATGCGGGAGAATTCAGTGCACGTCGCCGCCATTCAAAGACGCACACTGTCTGCATGTGAGGGTTGTTCTAAAGGTCAGCGTCTTCCGGTTATGCTTTGGGCTACCGTGTGAGGTGGTCTCAAGGGTGCGCAAAGGGCGTGCGAAAGAAGGTGCGAAATCATACGCTGTTCGGCGAAAGTCCCAACACCAAGCACTAGGAAGCAAGATGAAACATCTTTTGGCTGCAGGCTCCGAAATTGTCAGGTGTTGGTAGGGCTGTAGTCGAGATGCCGCCGGAGTCTTCAAACAACCAAGTGGCGCGGCTGATAGTTCAAGGATGCGAAAGACGCGCGAAAGTTGTGGGAACGCCCCCGCGCAATGCCTGCGCTGGATTCCAGGCCTAGGGTTGTGAGAGCTGACCTCTCGACGTGCTTGATGATAATGATAAGGCGAGATCCATAGCTAGATTCCGCGACAGCTTCGCAAGTGAAGGGCGCGATGCACTTTTCGCGGCAGTTGGCTATTTCATTTCCAGTTAAAGGAATTTGAGCAAGGAATGTAAAGAAGTGCATTCCGAGAATCGAAGCCCCAAACCTGAAAAAAACTTGGGTGACACATGCACTCCATGTCTGGACTCGCGAAGTGAACCATCTTAGGATTTAGGGTTTAGGGTTTAGGGTTTAGGACGTGAATTGGCCGGTTCTCCAAGCGTTTGTGCGTGTTTTGGTTGTCCCAAACGTGAAGGTACATGGTATAGCAGGGACCTCCAAAGCGACCGATTGAGCACCATCAACCTAAACCCACTAAACCCTCAGCCCTCAGCCCTCAACCCTCAACCCCAAAGCCCCTAAAAAATAAGTTGCAAGCTCAGGCGGGATGATACTGGTGACCCTCGGCTCCTCCAGGAGATTCTTTTCTAGTAGTAGAGTAGGTAACCTTTAACCTTTTTGGGGTAGTAGAATCCCCTTATAATCCCAAAGGTTAACCTTTAATTCTACTTGGAGGTTCAGGGGTACTTATAACCCCAAGAATAAGTCTACTTATATCCTACTTAGGGGACTTAGGGGGGCTTACAAGTATAGTTGCAATTGGGGCTATATGTACCCTGAACCTCCAGGTACCGTGCGACGGCTCTCTTACGGATCAAAGGGCCGGAGCTAGCTTTGGGTAGGTCTAGGTGTTCCTGCGGCGACACCTGCGGCGACACCAGCAAATAAGTTCAAGGCAGGGTCCTCCCCCTCACCACAGCCAAGGAAGTACATTTCGGTGACCTTGAGATTCTTTCAGAGACCAGCGGCTCGGTCCCGTTTTGGATCAAGTATCTTTTTGGCATGGACTATTTGTTTGATCAGTTCTGTAAAGTATGCTCCGAACTTTGGGTGCACGAAATAAGAGCGGCCTTATAATCAGGAACCCCAAAGGACCATCATTTAGAGAAGTGACCATTTAGTTTTTCATGGAGAGTTTGAATTGTGCTTTCATGCGGTTTAGGGCTGTCCTCCGGGTTAGGGTTTAGGGTTCGCGGTACAGGGTTCAGGGTGCAGGGTTTAGGGGGCTGTTCCGTGATAAGTTGCTTTTGGAACGCTTGAGAACATCCTAAATCCAAAGCTCCAAAGCGTTCGGCGCATGATTGCGACCGGTCCTCCTCTGGGCACCCTAAACCCTAAACACCCTAGACACCCTAAACACCCTAAACACCCTAAACGCCCTAAACACCCAAAACACCCTAAACACCCTAAACGCCCTAAACACCCTAAACACCCTAAACACCCTAAACACCCTAAACGCCCTAAACACCCTAAACACCCTAAACACCCTAAACCCTAAGCACGGTTCAGGAGAGCCTGGTCTTCTTTGACTTCATCCGAATCTTCGGGGCTGGCATCTATTTACTCAGCTGGTCGCTGTTTCAGTTGGGATACATTCGATGGAGTGTTCCACGTCTGCGCGGCCTGTCTCTGCTCGTCCACATACTACTCTTCTTCATGCACGTGCCGAAGCCCCAGAAAGAGCCGTCAAAGAGTGGTGTAGGCCTTCGGCCTTGTGTGCGCAAGCTTGTGGGTATATGATGTCGCGGCAACCTACGGAGACCATACCGGCAAGAGCAGGCCCGTATTTCACCGCAGGCCTGCAAGTGTGCCCTTTGCACCATGAGAAACACAACAGGCCGAGGTCGGATAGGGATGACCCCTGACAGAAAAGTTAGAAAATCCACAGACCCAGCTTAAAACAGTGCAGCCAGCACAGTAGAGCTCCAGAATCTGGGACCCACTTACGACACAGCATGGAAAGGGCGGGCAGGCCAGGCTGGACAGTGATCTGTCAAGTCGCTGCCTATAGGCTGCACATCATGAGGCACGGATCATGGCCCCTCATCACGGCCCTGATCGCAGTGCGCAATCACACAAAGGGTGTAAAGTTTAGGGAGTTTAGGCTCGGGCTCTCGACATCTGGCGATTTTCCCCCCACCCACCGACCCTCCCGTCCCGCCCGTTGCAGGACTCGGTCCTGTTTCTTAAGCAGAGCCCAGCATGAGAAAGCGGCATGTAATGCTGCATCGGAGATGCAAACCGAGTTGGGCCGCTTGCGGGCCAAATGGGAGAAAGAAGGTCTGGCGATTTCCCCCCCGCCCCCCCACCCCACCGCCCACCCTCCCGTCCCGCCTGTTTCAGGATTTGGTCCTGTTTCTTGAGCAGGGTTTGCTGTCCGTTCCCCTCCCCTCGTGCTCCGCCACCATGCTCGAAGAGCTGTCTGGCTGGCTTT